ACACAGGCGTATTTATGATAATTTAAATATTGACGATAATTTAAAGGAATTATTAATTGAAAGTAAATACTCATTATCTTGGGTTCTCTATACTGAACTTGAGATTATTGAAGTTATAGGGAAAGGTGGATTTGCAACAGTATATGGTGCTAATTGGAAAACTCAAAAATTTGTACGACCCGTTGCACTTAAATTACTTCATAATTCAAAAGAGTGTAATGAAGAATTTATAAAAGAGGTACTTTATATAAATACTAATATGTTTAAATTTTAATATATTACCACTAAATACTTATTTAATACAAAAGTTAAAAGCATATTGTGATATCGGCGGTAAAAATCCAACATTTTTAAGGTGTTATGGAATATCAAAAGACGATTCTTCTGGCGATTATATCCTCGTTTTAGAGTATGCACCTATGGGTTCTTTGCGTAACAATCTTCACTCAATAGCACAAATGGAGTGGGAAAAAAAATTAACATTATTGCATTGTATTGCTACTGATCTTCAAATAATTCATTCTCAAGAACTTATTCATCGAGATTTGCATAGCGGTAATATTTTACAAAATAGATTACATAATGCATATATTGCAGACTTGGGACTTTCAATGTCAACAAGCATAGCATTAAAGGCAGAACGTCGCGGAGTTTATGGAATTTTACCGTATATAGCACCAGAAACTTTAGATAGAGGCCAATATACGACAGCATCAGATATCTATTCGTTCGGAATAATTATGTGGGAAATTTTATATGGCAAACCTGTATCTTATGGTCAAGAATTTGGAATAAAGCTTCAAATAGAAATATGCTGTAATGATTTGCGACCAATAGCTATTGAGAACACACCATATTGTTATGTAAACCTAATGAAGAAATGTTGGGAAAGAGAACCAATAAACCGTCCATCAGCAAAAGAAATTTGTCAAACACTTACAGAATGGCAGGGCAATGAAAATATTTTATCAGAATTAACTAAGTCAGATGAAATTTTAAAAAATATTACAAGTACACATATACAAACATATCCTGATGACATTTATAGAAGCAAATTTATTGAATATATTACTTCAAATTATCAAGGTATCTATTTATAATATTTCTTAATAAGCTAATTACTAAATTAATTGAAATTATTTATTATTATTAATTATAATTATTTAACAGATAGCGGATTGAATGATTTAAATATTAAAGCATTATAGAAAACACTTTTTTTTTTTTTAACTAAAAGTCATTATTTAATAAAGTAATCAAAATTTTAGAAATACAAGTTTATTTTATTTGCTATTCTGAGTTCAGAAAAAATTTTTTATAGTAGTATAATATTTTAGATTAGAACCCTATTAAGAACAGCATGACAGAAGTTCTATTTTATTGGATGCAGGTATGTAACCTGCAGATCATGACCAGTTAGACTGTGATTGGCCAGTTAATGTGTATATATACGTAAAAATAAAAATAAAAAAAAAATAAAAAAATTTTGATACATTCAAAAAGTTTCTCCGTGGTTGAAGCTTTAGCGTGGTTAAAATTTTGAAATTTTAGCACAAAAAGTTGAGGTCAAGTTCGTGGTAAGTATCTCGTTACTACCATAATTAGGTTCTGGCAGCCAGGTTTTAGTGATCAAATTCCAGTGCGGTCTGGTTTTACCGTGATTATAGAGTTTTTAACAGGATAAAGCTTATAGTCTTGTAGTTGAACTTTCCCAGAATTAAAGTTTGTCGCCATAGTGTAATCATTGCCGTTGCTGTCTTTCGTCGTCGTCCTTTGCACTGTTGCCGTCAGTTTTGCTGCCGCCGGTTTTGTTGCCGCTGGTCGTCGTGTCGTCAGTTTTATCACCACTAGTTTTGTCGCTGTCAATTAGCTGTATAGTGGTAAGCTTTATTAATATAGTAATGTAGTAATGATAGGTGTTCATTTAATTCTCTAATTATTTCTAATTACTCTTATTAAAATAAGAATAAAAAGGAAGGATAAAATGAGGCTCCAACAAAACTATGGGCCTTGTGCAATTATTGACTGCACCAATAACAATGTTAAATACCGAGTGATTACAAATGTCGCATATGAGAAGTGTCAGAAAAATCAGATGCTGGAGTCATATCCATACCTTAGTGTTGAAGGCAACTTTGCCACCCCCATTATTGCAAGATTGTGGAGGCTGACAGGGCTTAACGAAGGCGTAGTTTAAAAAAAGTAAAGACTCAAAATAAGCAAAAAAGAAAGGTATTAGAACCAGTAGATTCCCAAGCAAGTAATTGCCATACAAGTAATGTCTTTTATGTTTAATACTCTATAGTATATATGTATTTTTATTAATTTCAATAATATAAATTTAGATTTCACATTCATATCAAATATCGATGCATTAACTAAATTATTATATAATCAGCAACGTCGAGAATGTGCTGATCTAGAACTCGATCCAATAAAATTTGAGCACATGGTAGAGAATGCTAGTCCTCAGCTCGAGGGTTTTTTTTGAAAGCATGGTAAATGCAATAATTCCGAAAGAACGTTCAGCATATAATACAAATGAGGGCAGGAAGTCAATCATTAGTTTATATTATATGATTGCGGGTTTATATAACAAAATTGTTAATAGATATAAGTTAGAAGTAGGATTATATTTAATGGCACCGGGAGCTACATGGGAGGCTGTTAACATAATGTCACGTCTTGGGTATTTTGCATGTGCTAAAACAGTAGAGGAATTTTGTAAAAAAATCCAAAAAGAGCATGTATTTAAAATTGAAGAACATTTATAAACAATGTAGGTTATATATTTGTCAACTAAATATGTTATGTATTTGTAAAATAAAAATAAGCATATATAAATGCTAAATTGATTTTTTTTTGCTTAGAAAAATCAATTTCATGTTTATAATGTTGACGATTATCATGCAATTTATGAGAATCATAGACCTGATACTGTAATGACTTCAGCTGCAAAGCATTTTGTGACTTTTGTAGCAAAGCCAGTTGAACATTTATCTGTTCCACTTAGATTTAATAATATATCAGCGCATAATCCAGCAAAAGTTGAGCCGCATAGAATTTGTTGGTACTTGCTTCATAAGTATAAAGGAATTTTTGAAAAGTCATATTTGGAACTTCAAGGTCTTTTAATTGTTGAAGAGTTTGATCAAATTGAAACTTTACCGATTTATAATTATGCAGATAATATAATTGAATATAAGGAAGAAAGGTCTATAAAAGGACTTCAATTAGTTGGATTTAAAGAGCAGAATTTACACTCTGTACAAGATTATGTTAGCATTTTAAAAGTTATTTTATTATTAAATAATAAAATGCAATACTTAGATGGGCAAGTTGTACCAATCGTTGCTGACTGGCCCTGTCAGATTTTTATTCGTAAGGCATTATATATGTGAACAATCCCGGGTCTGCAATTTGAATTTTTACAGAAACTTAAATCATTTATACCAATATTAGGTTCTTTACATTTATCATTGAATAGTAGAGAACAGGTTGTGTTGATGCATTATTTTTTTAAAAAAATTATTTTACTTTATGTTTGGTGAAAATAAAAAGTTTGCTAAAAAACCACAGCTCTGGAGAATAAATCTTGTATTGGAACTTGCAAAAAATGGATGGGTTAAAATTAAAAATAATGTTATGAAAAAATTTGGTTTGTGTAAAGATATTGAATATCAGACTGTAATTGATTTGCTTGATAACTTGGTTCCTGTGACTCTTGATGTTTATACAATTCTATTTTGGTCGGGTCAGTTTAATGAATATATAACATCAGTTTTTTGTATCTGAACTTTTTTTTTGCACTGTAAAAGGAAAAACTACAATAAAGCACCTCTTGTTTTTTTGTCAGATTTATTTTACTGGATGGATATGGATCATCTTTTTTTAGAAGCACTACAGAAGCACTTATTAAGTTTCAACAAATATTATGTTGAAAAATGTACATAGCCGAATCAGAGCAAACACTTCTCTTAATGCAACTGCTGACAATATTGTAAAACAAGTATACGTTATAATGAACTATAATTTTATATTTAAGGATGCATATTGTAAACCTTGAAAGTATCCATATACTGTGAAAGCACTTGACTTTTTATCTAATAAAACATGTCTTTTTTTATTACAACACTTCCAAAATATTTTTTATAATCATGAAAAAAAACATTGCAAAAATTGAGACTAACAAAAAAAAAACCACCTCAGTTATATAAATTGGATACTTTAGATAAAGAGGTAGATTTGCGATGTTTACTAATTACAGGATATAGCACATTCTGCCCACCACACCCAGAATTATGTGATTTTTGTAAACTTCTATTTACTAGTAATGATGGTGTTGTATTTGTCTGTGGTCACAATTATCATATGACTTGCTGTAAAGGAAAATGTAATTTTTGCGAAAAATTTTACAAAAAAGGTATTAATAAAAACATCAATACATTTCTGAAACAAATTGAAAAAGGTGCAGATTCACTTACAAAAAAAGATTTTGATAAAAATAATGACAATAAGGAGAAGGAAGAAGAAAATTTTAAAAAGGTTGAAGAAATGCATGACATTTCTAGACTAAATACAATATTGATAAGTATATAATTAGACAAAAATAGCTATGTATAAATGTTTTATTTTGCAAATAAAAACCAATAATGCCCTTTGCTTTTGAAATTATTGTTATATGCTTCTAAAAATAGAAATTTAAATATAACTTATGACTAAGTTTTGTGAAAAATTAACGTTTCCTTCAATGTGTTAGCATATTACTTTTTTTTTGCTATAGTAATCGTTATATAAAATCTTGTGTAATGATAGTGTGCATAAGTCAAACTTCTGTCATGATATTAAGAACGGTATGTAATAATAATTCTTTGCAGCCTTATAACCATTTTTTGAAAAACATATTCTGATTTTTACTAGGTTGTCATTCCAGTGACATGTGTTAAGTTGTTAGCCCTGGAATTTAGTAGTACCAGGGTTATCAGATTTGTGCAATGTAGCGTATCGTATAACATACATATAGTAGATTGCGATTTTTGTATAGGAATTAGCTAGTAAATCTCCAAAAAACTACCTTAGTATCGCCACCAAAATCAAAACAATTGAAACAATCGAATAAAGAAAAATTTAAATAATAAAACCAACACTAGGGAGGGACGATGATTTTCTGCATTTCACAGAATGCCGCAGAAATCACGGAATTGGGTTGTGAATAGTGATGCTTGACGAAATTGATTTTATTAGTAGACGAAATTAAACCTGCCGAAATGACAAAACTCTTGACAAAATTATTTTGATCTATAATTATTAGTGACGAAATTAATTTTGAATTAGAATATTATTCTAAGGAGTATACTCTCTAAGTTTATAGAAAAATTTCTTGGTGTTTATATGAATTTTTTGGCACAATCGCAAAATGACATAACTATTCGTCAATTCAAAAATAATTTCGTCAAGCATCTATAGTTGTGAACATGGAAAGTGCTGCAGGTACCACGGAATTCTCACGGAATGTGAATTTTTCTTTAGTCTCGTGACCTTTGACCAATCAAAACCATGAATAAATCACGTGAGAGCAAAAATTTACGACCCTATTTATTTGTCTATAACGATAGATTAAGAAAGCAACAGGTAAAAGGAAACTTTTTTCGATTTTTCACAAATAATTTCGTCGCTTTTTTTGATTTTTTGTATGCCCACTCATAAATAATAATAGCGGAATAAATCAAGTTGGATAATTCTAAATAGCAATCAGCAAAATTTATCAGAAAACTCTTTAAAATGTTTAAATATGTTGTATTTAATGGTATAATTCGTTATTAAATCTTTATTATTTTATTGTAATCGCAGAATATATATTTTTATATAACTAGCACAGACTCTTTAAATATTTATCACAGAAAATGCGCAGAAAAGGCAATTTTTGATGCACAGAATTTTTGCAGAATTTGATTTTGTCACGGACGAAATTTGTAATTTATCATCGCAGAAATTCATCGTCCCTGGGTTAGATTTAGGGTAAGGTTAGGGTATAGTATATACCAAAATTTGGCGAGGAATTTTTTTTTTTGTTAGAACACAAAAGGCAGTTTCATAGGCAAGATTTTGAGGCATATAATTTCACGTTACACCTGATCTTGAAAGTTGATTGGTGCGCAGAATTTTTGGAGGTAGTTACGATCACGTGTCCGTAGAATTTTGGTGGCGAGACTGGGGAAGACGAAAGTGCTAGTCATCTGATCAGATGTGCGGCGCCAGAATAGTGCGATTCCGCATAATCATTAATAATGATCACCTAGCATTAGCACCTTGGGGGTCGCTCTAGCTAATTTTTTGCATATCAACTACACAATTGTCTTTGTGCACAATTATCATAGTAGTCTTCTCAGTTCTTTGGTGATACGATACGACAGTGCATAAATAAGTCAAGTGAATGAGAAATTCGAGTCGTTAATTAGGAAACTCTTTGATATTAGAAAATGTTACATAAATTCTTGAATACTTCCGTAAAATCCTGATAATGTACAGTTTCTAATTTTGTTGAATGCAAAATTTGTAGATTCTATAATAGTAACAGTTTCGTGTAGTAATGATGCATCAACTTGGCTAGGATCAGGAATTTTATCTTTATAATGAAATATTGATCAAACATTAGTGTGTTGTTGATATTTTTAAGATTGGTTTTTATTTTTACCAATATATTTTTTATACGACAAAAGAAGCAATCGTTTTAAAAGTGTCAATAATATAGTAATATCACTAATAATAGAAACACTAATATGGAAATGCGTAGTTTTTATAATTAGGCCATGCAAAATTAAGTAGTTGGTTTTTATAACCCAACCGGATCAAATTCTGAAACTTTTTAATAATCAGGTTGATTTTTAAGAAACCTTTTATAAAAATTTTATAAATTTTTATATA